TATATATATTAGTATAAAAAAAATAACAGCGAAAAGATACTATATCTAAAATTAATCAATTTATTATATTAATTTTATTTTTATATTATTTAATATTAAATATATAATTTAATTGTTCATATGACTAGAGAGTAGTATACAGTATGTATATAACAGAGATAAGATCACAGACTATATTTAAAACTGATGAATGTGCTATAAATATATTCTTTTTCTATATTATTTAATTAAATAATATACTTTTTTAATTAACAAATTTATTATATTAATTTTATTTTTTTTTATATTATTTAATATTAAATAAATAATCGTTCATATGACTAGAGAGAGTAGTATACAGTATGTAATATATATTAATATAATATATATTAGTATAAAAAAAATACAAATTAGATCTAAAATTAATATAAATTTATTATATTAATATTATATATTTTTTTATATTATTTAATATTAAATAAATAATTGTTTATATGACCAGAGAGAGTAGTATACAGTATGTAATATATATTAGTATAAAAAAAAAATAACAAAGAAAAGATACACACAGATTAGATCTAAAATTAATATAAATTTATTATATTAATATTATATTTTTTTTATTTTATTTAATATTAAATATATAATTTAATTGTTCATATATGACTAGAGAGTAGTATATACAGTATGTATATAACAGAGATAAGATCACAGATTATATTTAAAACTGATGTTAGAATGTGCTGTAAATTTTTCTTTTCATATTATTTAATTAAATAATATAATTTTTTTTATAATATGAGAGACTTGCAAAAAGATAAAAATGAATAAAGAATCATCATCTGCAACGTGCTACGTAATTGAATATTATAAATGTATATACAAAGGAAGTTTGATAAGAATTTGCTTACAATCTGGTTGATGATAACGAATGTATCCCATTTCTATGTATTAGATTCGTTTGCGAAGGAGAAGAAGAGAGGTTCTTACTAAGATTCTTAAAAGAATACTTGATCCTAACCAAATGTTATATGCACGTGTGTGTTTGTGTGTGTGTGTGTGTGTGTGGGATGTGTGTATGTATTAGTTCCCCTGTTCAAATATCAGATTTCTCTTCTCTTGGTATCGTATATATTCTTCTTCCCTTCATCTTCGATATCATTGGTCCTAAAAATGTGATTTCTTTCTCTGTTTCTTTTTTTTTTTTCTCTCTCTCTTTTCTTTTCTTTCTTTCGAAACTAAGGTCACACCAAAACTGGTTTTCTACCTAATGCCCTATTCTACAATAGATTTAGATATTAGAGAATAGTATATATAATGTAGAATCTATTCTATGTTATTATTTTTAGTTTTAGACAAATTGTTATTTAGTAATTTTGCATAAATTTATTCGTCTGAATATTCATTTGAAAAAGAAGAATATATATATAGTGATAATATAGTATATTAGGGATAAAAAAACAGAAGGAATTTTTTTTTAGAATATTTTCACACCTTTTTTTTCACACCTAGATTTACCCATACCTACACCTTTTTGTAATCTATAATAAATGTAGATATTATGGAATAGTATATAATATAGAATCTATATTCTATGTTATAATATTTATTTTTAGATAAATTGTTATTTATTAATTTTGCATAAATTTATTTATCTTGTTTCAATATATATATATAATAAAAAAATAACAGTAATATATTTATTAATATTAAAATTAAAGTATATAATATAATATAAATATATTATATTATATATTATAATATTATTTATTATATATTAATATAATAAATTAATATATAGTAATTTTATTTATTTAAATTTATTAATATATATTATTATTATTATTATTATATTTATATTTTTTAATAATTATTTATTATATAATATATACAGTAATAATTTAATATATATACTGTATAACAAAGAAAGAAAAAGGATATTTTCTTCGAAAATTTTTACACGTTTATTTACCTGCACCCCTACATTCCATTTTTATGGTAGGGTAGTAAGGTCTGAAGAATTTTAAAGAAAGAGAATAAGCAGCAACCTAGGTTTCACGTTTCCTCTTAGGTTTTCTTTTATATATATATATATATATATAAGTTTTAAAATTTTGTTCACAATTTTAGCTATCGAACAAGAAAAAGACGAATTGGTCAATGCTTAATCTTCATTTTTCTCTTACATAACTAATATTATATATTATTTTATAATATTGTTATAATAATATTATATTATATTATTATAATTTATATGTAATATAAATATATATAAATAATATATAATACTATTCAATATAATCTATAATATAATACTAACTATATATAAATACTGTATATATACTTAATATATATATATATATATATATA